GCGGCGCACGCGCGGACCCCCGCGCGCCTGCGCAATGGGCGCTGAAGCCCCAGAGGAGGGCGGCGGTGCCCGGCCTTCGCCCGGCTCCTTCCCGCCGCCGCCGCGCAGCGGGGACCGGGTGCGGAGCGGCCCAGGCGGCGCTGGGATGTCCCGGGAGGAGAGATAACGGGTGGTGCCGGCAGCGCTTCAGGAAAAGTCTCGGTCCAAACCCATTCGGTGCCGGGGGGGGAGGAGGGGGGGCTGTGTCTGGTCCGAGAAGCTCTCGGTTGCACCTCAGGATTCCGCACAAAGGAGCTGCCTCCGGGTCTGGGCCCCTCACCACAAAACAGACATTGAGGGGCTGGAGCGCATGGAGCGGCTGAGGGAGCTGGGGGTGTTCAGCCTGGAGAAAAGGAGGCTGAGGGGAGACCTTCTCGCTCTCTACAGCTCCCTGAAAGGAGGGGGTAGGCAGGGGGGGTCGGGCTCTTCGCCCAAGGAACAGGCGATGGGACAAGAGGAAACGGCCTCACGTTACGCTAGGGTAGGGTCAGATTGGATATTAGGAAAAATTTCTTCACCAAAAGGGTTGTCAAACCTTGGAACGGGCTGCCCAGGGAAGTGGTCGAGTCACCATCCCTGGTGGGATTTAAAAGCCATGCAGACGTGGTGCTGACGGAGATGGGTTAGTGGTGGACATCGCAGTGTCAGGTTAACAGTTGGACTTGGTGATCTTAAAGGTCTCTTCCAACCAAAAGAATTCTATGATCACATTTATTAGGAAAAACAGCTCAAAAAACAGCCTGGGGCTTCCACTGTCCCCCCCGCTTCCCCCTCCCCGTGTGGAAACAAAGCATTATAAAACTGCTTAAATAAATGTTAAATGTTAAATAAAACCCCTTCGTAAGACCCCAAGTTCCTTGTGGACTTTGTTGTGCTGCACAAGCTCAACCCGGTTCTACGATGAAGCACGGAGGGAACGTGAAGGTTGGCACACGCGTGTGGCCTGTGACAAGAGCCTGCACTACATTTAGCACAGCTCCACGTGTGTCACCCACACAAGCCTTCCCAGAGCCAAAACTCCTCTTGATATCACAAAGACTGTTAGTTATGCCTGTATTAGTCGTCCTTTTTTTTTTAAATAAAACACAGAGGCGGCTGGTTGGTGTATGATGCATCTGAAATACCTTCAATAAATACTTTCTGCGTTTCAGATTTTGAGTGTTCTGGACGGGCAGAAAATTCCAAAGAAAAATGTGAATCCTATGTTCTGTGCTTGAATTTCCCAGATTTCTTTGTGGCTCATTATCACACCCACTGCTGGTGTGTTCACACTGGCACCTCCTGTTTCCCCCACCGATTCTTGGAATACGTAGGTCTCCTGACCACAAAATTAACTCCTTTCCTGAATCTGGTTTTGCCAGCTCCACCCAAATGCTCTGTCAGCCCTTGCAGTCTAGTCTTCCCTTCACAACTCCGATCAGCCTCCCTCTTCCAGTAGGAGTTGGATATATCTTAGCTTTTCACTCCTTAAAGGTGTTTTGTTTTTTTTTTTCCCCTTTAACTGGTATCCCCACCCGCAGTGGCAGAACTTAACAATTCCTTTAAACATGAAAGTCAGAGCAGACGTAAGGACTGTCTGGCTTCCAGCTCAGCTCTCTGGGGCAGCCTGCAATGCTAGGATTATTTCAGTTTCTACTTAACACGGTTCTGGCAAGAATAGGTGATCAGGCAGAAGTTAATTAATGGCTGCCTGCCCCTGCTCCTCAGCAGCAGCTCACGTTGCCCAACCACTCCTTCCTCCTTCCTTCATTGTACTCCAGTCCTCTCAGCCCTTCTGTCTTACTCTTTCTTGTGCCAAATCTTTTTATTCTTTTTTTCCCTTTTTTTCTTTTCCCCTGCAAAGAAATATACACACTTTTATTTCTCAAAACAGCATGCACACATTCTTTGTTATCTTCTGTAGTCAGCTTGCTTATTTCGCCCTCATTCCGCAACAGGAAAAAAACCCACATCAGTAAAATGGAAATAACTATGAAATACCTAAAATTTATTCACTGTTTCCCTAAGCTCTGGGCACTACAAACATAGGGCTTAGCAACAAATCCTCCAAATTTAGTAATTAGAAGTAAATAAAACACACAGCACAGAAATTAACTAGAACTACCAGTTTATCTTTTGAACATCATTTTTTGGAATTTTCTGGCCATTAAAACATCTGTTGGAAGAGAAGTTGCCCTCAGTAGATGCTCACCTCCTTTAGTAGAGGCAGGTATTTCACATAAGGGAAAAAGAAGGGAGAATTCATGTTCCAAATGAAAGAAGCCTTCAGAGAGAATGTCCGATCCCCTTATTTCTGCAAGGCCTTTGCCAATCTCAGCAGATAACCAAGGGTGCTGAAAAGTTCAGTTGCCTTTTTGGTTGAAGAAACAAGGTATTGGTGGCACACCCCTGGGAGCTGGGCACTGCGCTGACATGGCTACAGCCATTCAATGGACTCTGAGTGCTGTCAGTTTAGCACCTTTAAGTACTTACCCTCATCCACACAGAAAGAAATTATCTTCAAAGGGCATTTTTAGAGGGAAATTAGGAAGAGTTGAAATAGTACATCTAGTATGAAAATGTCACGGCAGCTCCATCACTAACATAATACCTTAAAAAATGCCTCAAAATATTTCATGTCAAGCACGTCGGGTCTTTCAATTATCTCAGCATTCCAGTGGCTCCCTCCAGGTCGAGCTCTCAGTGCCCAGCCTGCTGCAAGAGAAGGTGCCTGTGTTTCCATTTCGGTGCTGCTCTTCAACTGCAGCAGACAGAGAGAAAATAATATCTTCTTACTGTACTTTTGCCCTAAGAAAAAAAAAAAGAATCTTTGTTGTCATTGTGCAAAGCCCCTTTTAGAAGGAGTTACACAATAGCAAGTCAGCAGAGAATAGTCACACGCACGTAAATTACCTTAAAAATATCATTCTTGGTTTAATGAAAGTGTCGGGTTTTCAAAGAAAGACATACAATAATACCACATTTCCTCACCTGGGGAATAAACTCAAGAGTAAGTGTGTTTTTAACTCATCCATCAACTATGAATGGAGAAATAACAGTATGAAATCTTACATCCTTTTTTTTTTTTCCTGTCAGTGGGCAGACAGTTAAAGCCATGACCTACCTGTTGGAATTCAAACACCAAACTCTTTTCTTTTTTCTGTCCATCAAAACATCACTTCTGCAGCAGGGAGACTGACCTCTTCAAGTATCTTTCCAAAGAGAATTGTTCCAGCTTTCGCTCTTTAACTGTGCCATTACAGCAAGCACCTCGCCCAGTGCTCAATGCTCTTCTGTCTGGTTATTATATGGTAAAAGAGAAAAAGACTGAATCAGATGTCCTTGCTGTTTTAAATTACAAAGGGAGGAAAATCACTATTGGTAGTCTCTGAAAAATAAGACTTTGAAATAATAATAAACTTCAGACTGCTACGAGGTCTGCTGCAGTCAAACACTGCCAGGGAATGTTCCCATCAGGTATTGAGATATTTCTTGCCCTCCTTAGGCCACAATCAGCCTCAGCCCATTAATTATGGCATTTTTTTGATTATGCTGTAGAGTTGTAAAAGAGTCCAGAAAAGGTAAAAAAAAAACCAGTATATGTCTTCAATAGAAGAGCTTTCGGAATTAAAGGAGGGAAGAATTTGGGACAGAATAACCCCCTGCACCAGGACAGGTTGGGGCTGACCTGTTGGAGAGCAGCTCTGAGGAAAAAAACCTGGGAGTCCTGGTGGACAACAGGATGCCCATGAGCCAGCAATGGGCCCTTGTGGCCAAGAAGGCCAATGGCATCCTGGGGGGCATCAGGAAGAGTGTGAGCAGCAGGTGGAGGGAGGTCATCCTCCCTCTCTTTTCCTTTGGGGCTTGGCTCTCTCCTTGCTCTCTCCCCTGTGCCAGCTCCTCCTTCACCTTCCTTTCTGAAGCAATTCCCTCTTGCAGCCCCCTGACACCTCATTCAGATGAATTTCAGGTAAAGTACTCCCTTTATTCTGAAACTGATCTTGACTCATGATGAACGTGCATTCTTCCTACTTACTACTGGTGCACCACAACCCCATCCCACCACTTCTTCGGAGCCTGGCCAGACTCCCCAAGGGGGTTTGCCACCTTGAGGTCCCTCTGCAAGCCCCTTGGGGCCACAAACCCAGCCATCTACACGTGCAATAGCAGATCCTCCCACCAATACAGCCTTTCTCTTCCTCCCTGGTGGAGAAAGAAATTATGTGCCACAGAAGCAAAGAAGGTCGTTCCGTTCTTTTTTAATAATCAAGACTCATTCCTTCTTAACAAGATATGAAAAATGGGAGCATAAGGCAGTGATTCCCACTGATTTCAGTGGGCTCTGGCTCAGGCTTTTAATGACTGATGCACTTTTTTTTCAGAGGCAGCCTTTCATCCATCAAACCATTCTGTTGTTCCGAAAAAAAATCTGGAATGTAAGGAACATCTGCCACAACGAACATAAAAAGCACAGATCTGCTGCTACTAATGGGAAGTATTCTAAGGGCTCGGATTTAAAAAACGGAAGTTAATTAATTTTACAAGAATAATTACTTTGAATGCGAGTGTCAATGACCCTTCTCACATAAAGCTTTTCCAATACAATCTTGTTTTGGTCTCACTGAGGACAAAAGATGCTTCAGCTGCACTGACAAAAATCTTTGCGAATTGCGACAAAATAAATGCTACTGAAGGGGGTTCTATAGCTTCCTTTTAAATTCTATTTAGTTATTATCCGTAAACAAAAGAAGCTGAGCTGGCCTGGTTTGGATTTCTATTAAAAATCGTAATGAAATAATAAAACCAGTAAGCAATAAAGAAAGGAAATAACTGCTTTTAATACTCTCTGTTAAATGTAATTGTGACATTTAGGAATCAATTCGCTTCTTTTTCTAATATTCATTATGTCACTGATTAGTACAATGTGCAGCAAAGACACAGAAGACATCTTTTATCATAACAGATTTTATAGGAAATAATCTGTTTTTAATCTAGTTTTGCCAAATTACGTAGGTTTTTCTTGAAAAAATGTATTTTAAGAATACAGAAAGAAAAACAAATCGCTAAGACCTGTCTCTGTTAAGGTGCCCTGTTGGCAGCACATGGCAAAAAATACTGGCACCTTGCCTGGAAACTGCAGCAAGAACTGAGAGATCTGATCTCCTTCTGTGGCTGCAGAGAAAACAGCCTACAGCGAAGGGCAGTCTTATGGCCTGTGACCATCAATTCCTTGGCAAGAAGCACAAGTTCCTGAAAACAGATGCAGGAAGGTGAGCTCATTTTGCAAGTTAGGGAAAGAGGTTTTACTTTCCTAAGTGATGGTAGAGCCCCTGGAACAGTCCCTGTTAGAGTTGGACCTTCAGAATTCTCTCTATAATTGTGTTTTATAAAATCATAGAATGGTTTGGGTTGGAAGGGACTTTAAAGATCATCCAGTTCCAACTCCCTTGCCCTGGGCAGGGACACCTCCCACCAGACCAGGTTGCTCCAAGCCCCATCCAGCCTGGCCTTGAACCCCTCCAGGGATGGGGCAGCCACAGCTTCTCCGGGCAACCTGGGCCAGTGTCTCACCACCCTCACAGTAAAGGACTTCTTTTCAATATTTCATTCAAATTTCCCCTCTTTCAGCTTAAAACTGTTCCCCCCCTTTATCAAGAGTCCATCCCCAAGCACATAGTTTTATGTGCTACTGTGAAATACTTATCTCAAGGAATAAATGTTTACAACATAATAACGCTAATTTACTATTTTACAGGTCAATCTCAATCTCAAGTATTTCTTGAGCACAGGGATGAAATCCTGCAGGACTTCTGAAAAAGAAGTAGATTTTCGTCCATGCTGTCATATTGCTGAGCCAGACATTCAGAGCGATGACCTGTTCCAGGTGAAAAAGAGAAATGCTGACTTCTTCCTTTATTTTCTTTTTTTTTTTCTTTCTTTTCCTACATTATTCAAAACCTTGCTTGGCAGTACTCAGCTTTGGAGTGGCAGTGAGATGGAATCTGCTGTAATTGTGATGGCTCATAAACCAGAGATCCTCAAGATACTTGAACTCCTCCAGTCCCAAACATAGGCAAGACTTCAGCCTAGAACATTCTACTTCATCTTCCATGAAGATATTTGTGTGCTGAATGTCATCCTGAAGAGATGATCATTTTTATCCTTATACAGATGAAGTATGAATCTTACACTGTGACAATTATAGGGGGAAATAGCAGAAACCCTGTATTTAAATTATTTGACAGAAAATACCATAATTGTTTTAGAAAATAATAGAGGAACTTTGAGAAGCTCTTGTTGCAGTCCCTGAAATTTAGCAGGAACAACAATCTGATTTTGAAGATGTATCTTTCTTTGTCAGTTTAAATGTTTTAAAAGTTTTATCTTAATTGTAAAAGGATTGCTTTCCCCTTCCCTTTCCTCATTCTCCTCCTCTTCCCGTTCCCAGATGAGGAGAAGGGGAGAAATGAAAGACCCTGGATTAAACTCTCTCCCTTCTATGCTTCTACTGGAAAAGGAAAGAAAAAATAAACAAAAAAAATGAGACCATTGGGATCTTTTTTTCATCAAATACAGAATGGGGTCAGTTTCCAGACTGCTTTAAATAGTTGTCAAACTCAGGAAATGCTGTAAAAATTAAAATATAAAACTTGTTTTTCAATTACACTGACATGATTATAACTTTTTGGGGTTTTTTGTTCTTCTTAATAAGAACATCCAACCATAATGATGTCCCAATGACGGTCTCTTCCTGGTCACAATGATGGCAGAGTGCAGTTGGACAGAAAATTTGCCGTATTCCATTCTCACGTCCTTTATGCCACCATTAGCAACGAGCTGGAATTGATCCAAATGATAGAAACGCTTTGTTTCACCTCTTTAGGTGAACTGGTGCTGGCACACGAGTAGCCCAAGGGCAAAGGATGGATGAAACTGTCTCTCTGAGCACCACTTTAGGCTCGTTGTGAATTAAAAAGACTGTGTAACCTTGGCCTTGGTGATTCACTACATCCTTTACTCTTCTGCGTAGCAAAACCCTCCCTGTCTGTGGTCTCACTGCTATTTATTTGTTTTCTCTGACTCAAGGTGGCTCTGAAGCAAAAAGATTTGGGGAATCCACAGTACATAGTCTTTTCTATTGCCCCTCAAATGACTCTTCTCTCTCTTCCAGATTCTGTGGTCATGAAACAGCCTACCAGCAAGTCCATTTCAAAGAATTATGACCTTGAAAATCATGCTTCCTCCCCTCCCAGATCAAATAGGGGATCACAGAGGGAGAGACAGGGAGCAAAAATTCCCACTGTCCTGATTTGTTTTTTTAGAAGATGGGGTGTGGATTATGCTTCCTCCCCTCCCAGATCAAATAGGGGAGCACAGAGGGAGAGACAGAGAGCAAAAATTCCCACTGTCCTGACTGGTTTCTTCTTGTAAAAGTCCTTGTACCAGAACTTTCTAAATTTCAATCACATCAGTCATTTTAGTTTGGCCAAATTATAATCAAAGCTCATTTTATCCTATAAAAAAATATACTGAATCCAACTTTGATAAGGCAGATTGTTCTTTTAAAGACTTACTTATTTTACTTAAAAAAAAGAAGTTCATCTTTAGACTGGCCTCATTATGTGATTATATATATTTTTTAATTAGCAATGATTCTGCTTTGGAGACGTGTAAAATGTATCTCCTATGAGGGATATTTTTGTTATGGGTATTGCTTTTCAGAGCTCCAGCATTTTCAATTATGCTTGCAGAAGATATCAATTTTTAAATATACTCATTTCCTCCACATCTGTTCTGCATTCCATGGAGAAAAGACAAGAGCGTTGGGCGCCTGAAGACTTTAGGAGTCCAACGTGGTTGTTAAAGACAGCTCTTTCACACCAGTGTTATTGTTCTGCTTATGTCTTCCTGGATAGGGATGGGAGCCTCAAGGAGGTGCCTCTTAAGGGCAAGTCCCAAAGAGGACAAACAGATGGGCAGAGACAGCACTGATGCAGTAACATCTCAAACCACACAAGCCCGTAAGTCAGTCAGACAAACAGTTTAGTGAAAGATGGGAGTCAACCTTTTTTTTGGACCAAGTAAACAAACAGAACATTCTGTTTTCTTTAATCTGATTTTGTATGTGATCTAAGATGAAAAGGCATTTCACATATATAAAAAAGTGAAAGCACTTCATGAAATTCCTTTTTAATTAAATTTGCTAACTCTTATATTCTGCCTGTTCTCAAAGAAAACTTTTGATGTCTTAGCACATGTAAGAAAAAATATCAAGATACGCTGTAGTTTTCCCCTTCACATCATTTTCACTTCAGTCTAGACTGTGGTGTTCAAATAAAATAACAAGTTTCTGCTCAGAAGTCTTATTCCAGGTATATGTTTCATGCAATCACACCATGTGAGTCTCACAGATATGCTGTATGTATCCTTCAAAGGAGCAGGATGGACTCAGTTATACATCAAAACATATTATCCTTCTCCCATAAATATAAGAATACCATTCCCTACATTCAAATGAAACAGTATTTAAAGAAAGGATAATGATGTAATACAATTTCTTGGTAAGCGGCACATCACACAATTTTTAAGAGTAGAAGTTTCCAAAAAAACACAAGTAAAACTCAAGAGTAGCCAAAGCAATACTTTTGTGCACTTTTTAATAAAGCTTTCATGATTTATTAAAGAGAGATCACGGCATACTTTGAATTCATAGAAACAGAGAGCTGAGTTTTGTACTGATGTAGATAAATGCATATATATAAAAAAAAAAAGTCAAGTCACAGTGTCAGACATCAGAGCCCCTGTAGGAGGAACCCCAAGCCTAATGATTTTTCACAGTGCAAACCACATGAAAACACCAAGAAACAGGTATTATTAGATGTTCTGTGCAACCCCCCAGGTCATACCAGGTTCATCTTCTGAGATGCAACTGGAGTCTGTCCCTGTGCATCAGCTCATGATTTTGGCAGGGGCCAAGGATGACATCCTGAAAGAGTGATTTATTCCTCAACACAGGATCCTCAACGACAGTGTGTTGATCCTCAGCACAGGAAGGACATGGACCTGTTGGAACTGGCCCAGCAGAGGACCACGAAAATGATCAGAAGGCTGGAGCCCCTCTGCTGTGAGGACAGGCTGAGAGAGTTGGGGTTGTTCAGCCTGGAGAAGAGAAGGCTCCCAGGAGACCTTGTAACGGCCTTCCAGTCCCTAAAGGGGACTACAGGAGAGAAGGGGAGGGACTCTGGATCAGGGAGTGGAGCCATAGGACAAGGGTGAAGGGTTTTAAACTGAAAGAGGGAAGATTTAGATTAGGAACTGGGTGATCTTTAAGGTCCCTTCCAACCCGAACCATTCTATGATTCGATTCACTAAACCTTTCAACTCTGCAAACATTAACCTTTCTCTGAAAACTACAGCAGAAAAGAGAGGCAAATCATGTTTTTTCTGGAAAGTACATGGATAACATTCTTACTTCCAAAATAGCAGTATCTGTCCTGTTCATAAATCGCAGGAGTCCCTCTTTGCCCTTTCCAGAAAGAAAATAAAAGCCTCCGACTCATGTTAGTGGAAGACAGATGAGATTTTCTCCAGCCTGGGTTTGTGGAAAATAGTTTGATCAGAATTATGTCTCATCGTGTCCTCTAACGGCTCTGTCACTGTCTTAAATAAGAACAAGTTTTGGCTTATTGAAACTGTTAAGATTTGGGAGCCTTATTCTTTCTATAAATTGTGTATCCATTAAAATACTGACATTCTCCATTACGGAAAAAAAAAATACAGAAAAATAAATTAGAATCCAAAATCTATTTATACTTTTCTAACTGTCTAATCCTTTGTTGTCACAGCTTGTGCAGACAACGCCACGGCAACAAGACTCTACTTTGTAAACATACGCTGTTTTCATGTTGCTTTGTTAACATTATATTGTTCTCTTTAATGTTTGGGATACACAGTGAACGCGAGGGCTCATATATCATTCCTTACAGCTGTTGCACAGTCAATTATACTGATTTTTTTTTGGGGGGGGGAGGTGGTGGTGTATTTTTACATTTCAGAAGCTGCTTATAAGCAGCTTGTTGTGTTCCCAGACTGTCTGCTTGAGCCACTCCTGTGGGAGCTGCAGCAGTTTCTCATAAGCAGCAGCATGTCCTGGAAAAAGGGCTGTCAATAATGAGTTATTCTTTCCCAGAAAAGGAGAACAGTTTTATTCAGAGAGCAAACTCCGATCAGATTTTTATAAATAATTAGCCAATAGCTTTTGGTAGCGTGAACCTGACTGTCACACCAGCCCTGGCAATCTGTGACTTGTCTCAGTATAGATTCCCAGCATAAAAAAAATAGATCAGCTGAGATTTGAGTCAACTTCGGTAAAACTATAAGCAAAGAGAAGATGAATCAAACGCTGACTTAAATTTGGCACGTCAGAGCAGAGGACTTGTAAGGACCATCAATTTCTTCCCCAGCATATGGAAAAGGAACAGCACAGAATGGTGTGCTCCTCCTTACTCCACAGGAGAAACTAAAAAGCATCCTTTAACCTGTATTAAGACAAAAGATCAAAAGCTTTAAGACAATGACAGACATGAGAATCACAGAATCACAGAATCTTCTAGGTTGGAAGGGACCTTAAAGATCATCTTGTCCAACCATCAACCTAACTGACAAAAATAGACACCCACACAACAAACAAGGAGCATCATCACTAAACCATACCTCCCAGCACTACATCAACCCGTCTTTTAAACACCTCCAGGGATGGGGCCTCAACCACCTCCCTGGGCAGCCCATTCCAATGGCTGAGAACCCTTTCAGTGAAAAAATTTTTCCTAATATCCAGCCTGAACCTCCCCTGAAACAAGAAGCAATTTTAATGTTCCTGTACCAAGTCATTAAATAGTTGAAGAAGCACACGGTTAAAAACATTTCCAGGTACCAGTCCTCTTTCCATTTTTAGTGAAGATTTTGACTTTCTACTGAGCCATTAAATTTATCTTTTATTTAGAGACATGAGCTGGCAGTGCACACTGGCAGCCCAGAAAGCCAACCACACCCTGGGCTGCATCAAAAGAAGTGTGGCCAGCAGGGTGCGGGAGGTCTGTCTGCTCTCATGAGACCCCACCTGGAGTGCTGTGTCCAGCTCTGGGGTCCTCAGCTTCGGAAGGAAATGGACCTGATGGAACGGGTCCAGAGGAGGCCAAGAAAATGATCAGAGGGATAGAGCCTCTCTGCTATGAGGACAGGCTGAGAGAGTTGGGGTTGTTCAGCTCGGAGAAGAGAAGGCTCCAGGGAGACCCTAGAGCCCCTTCCAGTCCCTAAAGGGTCTCCTGGAGAGATGGGGAGGGACTCTTGATCAGGGAGGGGAGCCATAGGACAAGGGGTAATGGTTTTAAACTGAAAAAGGGGAGATTTAGATTAGATATTAGGAAGAAATTATTTCCTGTGAGAGTGAGGGTGGTGAGAGCCTGGCCCAGGTTGCCCAGAGAAGCTGTGGCTGCCCCATCCCTGGAGGAGTTCAAGGCCAGGCTGGATGGGGCTTGGAGCAACCTGGTCTGGTGGGAGGTGTCCCTGCCCAGGGAAGGGGGTTAGAACTCGATGGTCTTTAAGGTCCCTTCCAACCCAAATCATTCTGTCATTCTATAGAATTCAGATGTTTTTTCAAATCGAACACAAGGGCAGCTTACAGGGAACTACCATCTATGGGTGCATCACAGCAAAGAGATTACCTGTAAAAGGGCACTGAACCAGCAGAGTTTTTAGGGGAATCATTCTGGTAACTTCTTGTGGTCTTTTAGTGAGGTTCAAACCTTCCACTTGGGTGCAAGCTGCGTGGGGCTGCACTTCTGCATCCTAACTTTTGGCAGATGATGTAATTTAAAACAAAATATATTTTAAATATGAAGATCAACTCTTTCACTTGCTGTCTTGAACCTAGAGAGGAAGCAGAAACCACAATTTAGTTCTTTTTAAGTATTTGATTCTGAGCTGTTCATCTTTCCGTGTCATTCTCTTTCTTGCTTTCTGTGCCTAATGGTCACTCCTAACTTTTGGCAGATGATGTAATTTAAAACAAAATATATTTTAAATATGAAGATCAACTCTTTCACTTGCTGTCTTGAACCTAGAGAGGAAGCAGAAACCACAATTTAGTTCTTTTTAAGTATTTGATTCTGAGCTGTTCATCTTTCCGTGTCATTCTCTTTCTTGCTTTCTGTTCCTAATGGTCACGGAATGATACTACATTTTAAAAACCCCATGCATTTTATAAATGTCGGTATTTAAAACCTGAATATTTTCATTTATTTTGGAATGTCTTATTAACTCTTACAGATCTCTATTTCTGTTTTTCTTCCAGAATGACTGAAGTCTTTCAGCTGCAATGTGTTATTTTCAGTCAGCTGAGAAGAACTCCTGCTTTAACCCGTTTGCTCCTATGGGATTTGTTACCCGAGGTACTGCAATGTGTTATTTTCAGTCAGCTGAGAACTCCTGCTTTAACCCATTTGCTCCTGTGGGATTTGTTATCCAAGGTGCTTCCTCCAAAACCTTTACAGAGACTGAATGGAGACAGATTTGAATCTGTTAATAAACGTAAAAAGCCCCAATATTCCATTATGAACAACCCAAATAACCACCTGCTTCCCTGTGCAATATACACTTTAATGGGCTTTTTTATGCAAGGAATGGATAAGAGCATTTTTATGCCAAGAAATGTCCTGCCTAAAGATTCTTTTTATACTCTGTATGGATAAACAAAGAACTTTCCTCTAAATTCTTTATGCACTTTCACCAATAACAATTTATGACAGCTAAGAAAATGGGATTTTATAAAAATTATGCTCAAGGACAAAATTTTAAATACTTGTAAAAACATCCACATTTTGCCAGAAGATGTTTAACTTCAGGAAAGAAAGACTAAGGAAATCCTTGCTTTATTTACTGGCAGTTTTCACTTTTGCTAAATAGCACATATTCACATATCCATTCTCTTTGTGTAAAAGCATTATTGATTTCCATTTTAAAATAAAAGCCTTTATTTTAAAGTAAGGATTTACTTGCTTTGAAGTCATTATAATTACTTTAACGCTACAGAATTCTATATAGCTGTACACTTAATAAAAGTGTAATATTACAGAAGTTGAGTACATTAGGGCTAATATATTTAAGTTTAAACACTTAATAAAAGTGTAATATTACAGAAGTTGTGTACATTAAGGCTAATATATTTAAATAGCACTGTAAAAATCCAAGGCACAATTTGTATTTATAATACAAATTAATAATCATAAGTTAGATACATAAATGCAAATGAATTAAAAAAAAAGTTATTCTGTCTTAATAGGATATTATTCTTTGACTTGCTGAGCAGATTGTAAACTCTAGAAAACTATTTTTCCCTTAGTAACAGAACATAGAACCACTGGTGCCAAGTCTGGGCTTTTTTCAGATCTCGATATTTCTGTATCATATATTTCAGTACCATTTCATATTCATTTCTTGTTAGCCATAGCCCTTGTAATTTGTTAGTATTCAAGATTTCCAGTAGCTATTTTCCTTTCACCACAGTTATCTTAAACGCTACATGTATTTTTGTTGCAGTTTAAAAAAAAACAAACACCTGGTCTATATCCATAATTTTTTCTTTCAAGTTTTTATCTTTGTAAATATAGAGTTTGATTTAACTGCCTGTAACAAACTGAAATTCTTACTTTTTTTTTTTTTTTGCAGAACCGTTATAATTTTTTTTTTTTTTTTTTTTTTTGCAGAACTGTTATTTACAATGTTTACACTTACTGGAAGATTTTATCACAAGATGCTCCATTGCAATGTTATTGCCCCCACGCATCCACCTCAGTCCCCCAAGTTCCCTTCCTGCCCTTACACCAGGGATGCAAGAACAGAAGATGCAGCCACTCCACAAATAAAACCAAATATAAGTTTTAAAATACATTTTGCTCTCCTAGAATTCCTTTTCTGTGCTAAGAATTATTTTTAAAAGTCTTTGCCTTTTTACCAAAACTGGTATGCCCTACAGAAAATCCTCAGTTTATACCTTGTTTTGATGAATTCAATTTCTTGACCTGTGACCCAGTTGGAACATCTCCAAATCTCACAGTCTTTCCTTCCTATTTTCCTCCAATTAAAATATGTAACTTCACAGTGACTATGTCTCTGTTGATTTCTTTTTTTAATCGACTGATTCTGTCAAACCTTAAGAGTGCAATTCTTCAAATAACCTCTGATTTTATTATGACCTCACATTCCTGTTCTTCAGGAAATCAGACCTGATTATATCCGTGGCTAAAATCGATTGCTTTTAATATAAACAAATGAAGCACACCCAAACTGATGTTAAACAGAGTAGAAATCTGTGGGTATATAATTCATAATAACAGGTAAGATTTAGGGAAGAAAGGCTTTAGAAACAGGAAGGCCACCAAATATAAAAATGAAGCATCTGGAACAGGAGAAAGGAGAGGGGCTGCATCCCCTCTGCTGTGAGAACAGGTTGAGAGGGTTGGGGGTGTTCAGCCTGGAGAAGAGAAGGCAAAACCTTGCCAAAAGACCTGAAGGATTTATGGATCCACTTATTTAAAAAGCAGAAACCTCCACAAAAATAACTTCACTCAGAATAACAGAAGTGACTGGTCTAACGAAAGCACCATAAATTTAATTGTCAGGTGCAAACACAAAGACACCAAACTTTAAGAGGAAATAAATGTGTTTACTTGCAGCTTGAGTAGCCAATCAACAGATAAGAGAGTGGTAAAAATCCCTACCTTTATCTGCTGTTCACTCTCTCTGAGGGAATGGATGGATTCCTGAGGAGTAACAGAAAATTGGTAGTCTTCAAATACAGCCAGGATTACTACAAATTACCATAGTGATTACTATGATAGTATTACTATAAATTAACACAGATAATTTCTATAACTGTAGCATAGTTCAAGCACACAAACATGGCAGGTATTTCTAGGAACCATGGATCCACCACCAAGATGCCATGAGGTGGCTTGAGTTTATACTCAAAATTTCACCAAACCAAGCAACCCAGAGATTGCATTTTTAGCAACGCTTGCACTGGGTTCACTTTCAGATTATTAACTCACAATTTCTAAAATTAGAAGTCTGCTTTGGTCTTGCACTTTAATTTTTGGGCCGTAAAATTCATTAACATACACAAAATCCCAAGTAACATAATAATAAGACATGTATATGAATAATAATAACCTCAGACATGTATATGAACAACGAACCAGCTGAGCCATACATCCCAGGCAATAAAAGCTGATGCACACAGTGGGGAAAATTTATGAAAGCCCATAAAATGCACAGCAAATTTTGCAAATTGGTCAGGGACTATGTCTCTCTTTAAATTCAGAAAAGCACAAGAAGCCAACAGAAGTATAAATCATTTGGGGGGGTGGGGGCGGAGGAATACACGGAGAAGCGTATAAAAACCATGACATATTTCCAAAAAATAGGTGCTGAAGACATGCCTAGTGGAAATAACGCATCCCTGATGGCCTTCGCTTAGTAGCACAGAAAGAGGCTACTCAAAGTCTATGAATTTCTGCTGCTCAGCCTTATGTTGGCCATGCAGGAAGAAGGAGACTGAACCTGAGGCGAGTTTTGCTCAGCAACCCTGAGCAAAACTGGTTGGTCACTGGTTGTCCATCTCCCCATTGGTGTCCTCCTGGTGATCCTGCAGCTGTTTCGGCAACTGGAATTTCATAGAATCACAGAGTGATATGGGGTCAGAAGGGACCTCTGGAGATCATGCAGTCCAACCCCCTGCCAGAGCAGGTCCACCCAGAGCAGGTCCCACAGGAACGTGTCCAGGGGGGTTTGAATGTCTCCAGAGAAGGAGACTCCACCACCTCTCTGGGCAGCCTCTTCCAGGGCTCTGCCACCCTCAAGGTAAAGAGGTTCCTCCTCATGTTCAGACGGAACTTCCCCTGTTCCAGTTCGTGCCCATCCCCTCTTGTCCTGTCACTGGGCACTGAAACGGTCAACAAGGCTCTTGGAGCACACCAACTACATTTCCCTTCTGTTCATCAGCTCTGGAACAAATGAAGGGGACAAGTAAGAGGACTGCATTGCTCCGAAGAAAACATCGTTGTAATTTTTCTGGTGTCATCCAGTGACTCGTAAAATATATCTGTACAAGTTACTAAATATGGGCCAACTGCCAGCATTTTTGTCTTCTCCCCAGTTATCTGTTATCTAGGTTATCCTGGCTCTGGCAAACTGGAAAAGGTTGGATTATGGAATGGAAAGAAAGGATTATTAATTTTTTTTATATTTTATTGTGACAGGGACAATTTGAGACAATTCTTGCAAATAAGCAGAAGCCAGTCTGTGGAACTAGTAAGGGAAATAAAAGACATTCATTTGCTGAAATACATTTATTCTCTGCTATTTCATTGGTTTTTTACTTCAAAATTTTACTCTTATGTACATCCATACAAACCATTAGCATTCATGTAAAGTCATTCTCCTTCTAACCCAAGAAAGGGGCTCTTTTTGGCTTAGGATGTTAGCACGCTGACATTCCCTCTACCTAAAAATGAATTTCTTCATGACTGGGCACAAACTTACATTTTGGGTTACCTTTTATGAAAGAAACCATACCTCAAAGCAGCTGGTGATCCTAGACAAAGACAGGCATTAGGTCCTCTATAAAATAAGAGATACAGCAATGGAGACCAAACTTGGACACGCTTAGTTTTATACAACAAGCTGTCCTGTTGCTCATTTAGAATTAGCCAATAAAAAATATGAAATCCAACCCAATCTTGGCCAAAATACTTAATCTTTCACTACAAACTTCTCTGCCAAAGATAATTTCTTTCATTGTGTATCATGTGCACGTCAAATTTGAAAATCTTCAAAGGTCTCTCTCAACGCTGTGTACGCACCTGACTTTTGCCACCCTGACACTGCAGCCGAGTAATTAAGTGGGCGGTTTTGGGGGTGAATTTCGCTCTTTCTGAAGCCAGTGAAACCCTCTTGCCTCACCTTTGCAACCGCCCCCTCAACTTTTCACCCCGGGGGAGGGTGAGGACGGACCTCCGCGGCGGGGGCTCGCCTGTGCGCCATCGAAGCGGCCCCGTCCCCACCGAGGAGAGGGCAGGCTCCCCCCCGGGAAGGCTGCGGCGGCTCCTGGCCCCCTGTGGAAGCCAGTGTAAGAGGGGAGCGCCGAGGAGGGGCCGCCATGGACGCCCCTCACACCCCGCCGCCCTCAGCGCAGGCGCGGCCCACACGGGCGGCGGGAGGGGTGAGGGGGCCTGGGGGCGGCGCGGGTCCGGGTGCCTTTGTAGGTGCCTGCTCCTCGAGGGGTGCCGCCGGTGCTGCCGACCGGCCGGGAGCCGCGCTAAGGCGGGAATCGCCAAGTCCAAAGTGCTCGGCGGTGCCGAGGCGGGGCGACGAGGCGGGGCGACGCGGTGGAGCGGCGGCCGCGGCGGAGGGCGGGCAGGCAAACGGCAGGGCGGCTACATCCGGGCAGCGGCGGTGGGCACCTGCCGCACAGGGGGCCTCGGGTGACATTGGGCTTCGGCAGCTGAAGGGGGAGGACGGGCGGCGGAGCCTGGTAAAGAAAGAGAGCGAGACCTTCGCCTGCTGCCGCCATCATGTTCCGAGTTATGGTCACCCACGCCAAGAAGCACCCCAGCGTGAGTATCCGGCGGCGGTGCTTTGGCGGGCCGGAGGTGGTGCCTCGGCCCCAGCGGCCCGCTGTCCTCCCCTCCCGGCGGCCCTCCCCTCCCGGCGGTCGGTGCCCCCCGGCCCTCTCGGTGTTCTTCTCTTCTCGATCTTCCTCCTCCTTTCTTTTTGTATGTCCGATCTCTCGGGGGGGCTGGGCTTGGTGGGTAAGACACAGTCAGCTCCCTTTATCCATCTGATGTGTGTGTGCGCGCCTTTCTCAAGGCGGTTTTTCCCTTTTTCTTGCTCATTTCTTTCCCTACACCACCCCCCACCCCCCCAGTCCCATTTTCTTACTTCATGATCAGGATGGCAGGGCTGTTTTTGGGCAGTGGAGAGGCTGATGTTTGTTTCTGAGTTTGTTTGTTATGCACGTAGAGGTATGTTGTTCATGTGTGCCTTTCCTCCTCCTTTCTTTTTGTATGTCCGATCTCTCGGGGGGGCTGGGCTTGGTGGGTAAGACACAGTCAGCTCCCTTTATCCATCTGATGTGTGTGTGCGCGCCTTTCTCAAGGCGGTTTTTCCCTTTTTCTTGCTCATTTCTTTCCCTACACCACCCCCCACCCCCCCAGTCCCATTTTCTTACTTCATGATCAGGATGGCAGGGCTGTTTTTGGGCAGTGGAGAGGCTGATGTGTGTTTCTGAGTTTGTTTGTTATGCACGTAGAGGTATGTTGTTCATGCGTGCCTCTCTGTAGCTGCCAGTTCCTCTCTGACCCCAGGGCACACAGGGAGCTTGTGTCAGGCTTTTAGAGGGCCATGTGTTGCGTCTCAGAATGTGTGAGCATGTTCTTTGGTTTGTTATTGTTGCAGTCAGAAATGCAATGTAATAATACTATTCTGTTCTATGCTATTATGACATTTAACTTATATTTGCTTTTATTTCAGTTGATCCCTCTGTTTTTGATCATCGGATCCGGAGGCATTGGTGCTGGCCTGTATCTCATGCGTTTGGCAATGTTCAACCCTGATGTCTGGTATGTATCGAGTAATTCCTAGCGCCTGCTTTTCTTGCTGTGTACAGTAAAGTCTAGTAAAGTCATCTTCGCTGCCTTGGTCTTTGTCTCGCTCTAACATCACTGAACATGTGTGGAGATTTCTTTGTTTACCATATGATATTTAGAGACTGCTGACAAAGGACTGTGTCTTTTGTAGAAACTTGTTTGGATAGGTGACTCCCCATGGCCTAATAGCCACAGCACACAGGAATTTTATTTCATTTGAAGGTAGCGTGATTCTCTTAATGTATTCATATGTTTTGCATTTCTCTCAATAGCTGGGACAAGAAGAATAATCCAGAACCTTGGAACAAACTGTCTCCCAGTGACCAGTACAAGGTAAAATGAAGAATACAGATTTTTAGTAAAGATAATGTCAAAGGTGTAGCTTACTGTTTTAGGGTGTTTGATCTTTCCCTACACCACCCCCCACCCCCCCAGTCCCATTTTCTTACTTCATGATCAGGATGGCAGGGCTGTTTTTGGGCAGTGGAGAGGCTGATGTGTGTTTCTGAGTTTGTTTGTTATGCACGTAGAGGTATGTTGTTCATGCGTGCCTCTCTGTAGCTGCCAGTTCCTCTCTGACCCCAGGGCACACAGGGAGCTTGTGTCAGGCTTTTAGAGGGCCATGTGTTGCGTCTCAGAATGTGTGAGCATGTTCTTTGGTTTGTTATTGTTGCAGTCAGAAATGCAATGTAATAATACTATTCTGTTCTATGCTATTATGACATTTAACTTATATTTGCTTTTATTTCAGTTGATCCCTCTGTTTTTGATCATCGGATCCGGAGGCATTGGTGCTGGCCTGTATCTCATGCGTTTGGCAATGTTCAACCCTGATGTCTGGTATGTATCGAGTAATTCCTAGCGCCTGCTTTTCTTGCTGTGTACAGTAAAGTCTAGTAAAGTCATCTTCGCTGCCTTGGTCTTTGTCTCGCTCTAACATCACTGAACATGTGTGGAGATTTCTTTGTTTACCATATGATATTTAGAGACTGCTGACAAAGGACTGTGTCTTTTGTAGAAACTTGTTTGGATAGGTGACTCCCCATGGCCTAATAGCCACAGCACACAGGAATTTTATTTCATTTGAAGGTAGCGTGATTCTCTTAATGTATTCATATGTTTTGCATTTCTCTCAATAGCTGGGACAAGAAGAATAATCCAGAACCTTGGAACAAACTGTCTCCCAGTGACCAGTATAAGGTAAAATGAAGAATACAAATTTTTAGTAAAGATAATGTTAAAGGCGTAGCTTACTGTTTTAGGGTGTTTGGGTATATTGGAAAGGAGCTGAATGAGTGATGTATTTCCTCTGCAGTGCAATGTTTGTTTGTCTTTAGAATTCAGAGCAGAGAGAGCTGAGTTTGAGATTCTTCCTAGAGTTGTTTGATAATGGAGTGAAAGGAGTGATGGGGTGATATGGAAGCAGTCATATATATTGCAGTGTAAGAAAAAGAGGAATTATACACGAGAAAAAAAATACTAGCTCATAATACTCAGAAATAAACTACAGGGAGAAGGACAAAACCTTATCAGTTCCACACTAAAGCTTTCTATGCTCTGACCTGTCAGTCTTCACTCATGAGAAGCAGAGCAGGAAAATGTGAGCATTTAACATAAACAGTAATTCAGTCTACAGTTGACTACTTGAAAACAAAACCATTGTCTGTAAGTAAGTGGATGGAAAAGGAACATTCTTTAAGTACTATTCAAGTTATTTAGTAGTTTACAGAAATCCTGTTTATATCATGTTTTACTGAAGTGGTATTTTAATAGATTCCTGTTAAGAGTATTTTAAAATTACCTCTAAGCTACTAAAAAAAGCCTGCTTTTCTTGCTGTGTACAGTAAAGTCTAGTAAAGTCATCTTCGCTGCCTTGGTCTTTGTCTCGCTCTAACATCACTGAACATGTGTGGAGATTTCACCTGCTTTTCTTGCTGTGTACAGTAAAGTCATCTTCACTGCCTTGATCTTTATGTCTCGCTCCAACATCACTGGTACTAAGTCTGTGGAGATTTCATTGATTAGGAGACTTATTTGTTTACCATATGATATTTAGAGACTGCTGACAAAGGACTGTGTCTTTTGTAGAAACTTGTTTGGATAGGTGACTCCCCATGGCCTAATAGCCACAGCACACAGGAATTTTATTTCATTTGAAGGTAGCGTGATTCTCTTAATGTATTCATATGTTTTGCATTTCTCTCAATAGCTGGGACAAGAAGAATAATCCAGAACCTTGGAACAAACTGTCTCCCAGTGACCAGTATAAGGTAAAATGAAGAATACAAATTTTTAGTAAAGATAATGTTAAAGGCGTAGCTTACTGTTTTAGGGTGTTTGGGTATATTGGAAAGGAGCTGAATGAGTGATGTATTTCCTCTGCAGTGCAATGTTTGTTTGTCTTTAGAATTCAGAGCAGAGAGAGCTGAGTTTGAGATTCTTCCTAGAGTTGTTTGATAATGGAGTGAAAGGAGTGATGGGGTGATATGGAAGCAGTCATATATATTGCAGTGTAAGAAAAAGAGGAATTATACACGAGAAAAAAAATACTAGCTCATAATACTCAGAAATAAACTACAGGGAGAAGGACAAAACCTTATCAGTTCCACACTAAAGCTTTCTATGCTCTGACCTGTCAGTCTTCACTCATGAGAAGCAGAGCAGGAAAATGTGAGCATTTAACATAAACAGTAATTCAGTCTACAGTTGACTACTTGAAAACAAAACCATTGTCTGTAAGTAAGTGGATGGAAAAGGAACATTCTTTAAGTACTATTCAAGTTATTTAGTAGTTTACAGAAATCCTGTTTATATCATGTTTTACTGAAGTGGTATTTTAATAGATTCCTGTTAAGAGTATTTTAAAATTACCTCTAAGCTACTGTTTTCAAAGCTGGTGTCTGTTCAGTACCATATCTTACTGTTGAAATAAGAAAAAAACCAAACCCCACACTCCAAAATAAAATACGTTGCAGTTCCCTTAAAGGTCCAGGAAGAACATAATACTTTGTTTTCACTGCTGCTTCTGGAATGTTGCTGTTTCTTAAATATCTAAAATAGGCAAACTCAACATGTTGCGCAGCACAAATTCTTTTAAAGAGTTGCATGCCTTGTGTAGCGCTTCCCCATCTGTCACAACCTCAGGGTTTACCATATTTGGGTGTGTGTAACGTTGGGGAGGGGTTTTTTTTCTCAAATCTGCTCTGTGGGAAATGCAAAGGCAGAGAATCTAAACTGAAGATGACTGTTTAGTCAAAAGCTCTGATATGATAAAGTTTTAGCTTTCAATTAAACTTTTTCTTTTGTAAACTTCCCTTGGTCATAGCGACTTCCTCAGTCTTGCCAAAGAAAAGAATTAATGACCTGTTCATTACTGTAGAAGCTGCGCAGAAAGCTGTGCTTGGAATGTGCTGTAGCCTGTTTTGTTTTCACTGAGGAAGTTTTAAAAAAAAAAATCGAGCATAACTAAAAATAGTCAAGTTAATAGATAAATATTTCTTTTTTCCTTTAAAGAAAAACTATGGCATCACATGCTTGATGTCAAGTCAGGTTGGGATGCCAAAATATGCTTTTAGTCTGTGAAAATCATTGCCTTGGTGATTATTTGGGCTGTTTTGAATTGCTTGTGGTGGGATCTGACTTGATTAATCTAAACTGTGAAAGGATCTGTTCCTGTTTTCCTTCCTCCTCGCTGTACCTGGCTTTTGCAGCGCTGCCCTAAATGTTCCCCCATGACACTGTTCACATACCCAGTGCTTTGTGCCACCTGTCGAGCTGGGCATTGCCTTGGCTGTATGGGAGCACAGATTTGGGGCCAAAAAGGATAAACTCAGCAGTACTGCCAGAACTTCCTGTGAATGAGCTTTTAATTCTGGGGATGAAAGAAGAGATCCTGTGGGTTTTCTCTAGTTGTAGGCACAAGTGCTGCCTCGTTTTAAATGCAGAACTTGTAATACTCTATGCAGAATGAACATATTAAAAAGTGGGTATTGTTATTTGTCTAGTGTACAGACTGAAGCTGTATAACTAAAAATAGTCAAGTTAATAGATAAATATTTCTTTTTTCCTTTAAAGAAAAACTATGGCATCACATGCTTGATGTCAAGTCAGGTTGGGATGCCAAAATATGCTTTTAGTCTGTGAAAATCATTGCCTTGGTGATTATTTGGGCTGTTTTGAATTGCTTGTGGTGGGATCTGACTTGATTAATCTAAACTGTGAAAGGATCTGTTCCTGTTTTCCTTCCTCCTCGCTCTACCTTCTGGTTCTAGATGCAAACCAGGTTTTTGCAGTGCTGCCCTAAGTGTTCCCCCGTGACACTGTTCACATACACAGCACTTTGTGCCACCTGTTGAGCTGGGCATTGCCTTTGGTGTATGGGAGCACAGATTTGGGGCCAAAAAGGATAAACTCAGCAGTACTGCCAGAACTTCCTGTGAATGAGCTTTTAATTCTGGGGATGAAAGAAGAGATCCTGTGGGTTTTCTCTAGTTGTATGCACAAGTGCTGCCTCGTTTTAAATGCAGAACTTGTCATACTCTATGCAGAATGAAGATAGTAAAAAGTGGGTATTATTATTTGTTTAGTGCACAGACTGAACCTGTGATCTAGGTTTCCTGACGTGAGCTCAGATGGGGCATGGTTTTGAGTAAATACAATGGAAAATGGATAGTTGAGACTTCTTACTCCTTTTTTCCTCTCCCCCCCCTCTCTTTCCCAGTTCTACTCGGTGAACGTTGACTACAGCAGGCTGAAAAAGGACCGTCCTGACTTCTGAACAACACCTTCATCTCTGTAAGCTGCACAGAAAGGTCTTCCTGAAGCCGTCCGCACAATTGTCATGCTTAAATCATCCAGGAAAATCATCAAACTCGCCTCACGCTGCACTTGGTCATGTGTTTGAAAGTTTTGGGATGAGGCTTAATAAACGTCTGAAACTTGAAGTGTCTGCTCTTTACTCTGATTTTTATAAAATGAGAATATTCTCCTGTTAATGGTTTGTTGTACAATCGGTCAAATAGTAAGCAAAAGCTGGTTCACATTTCCTGAACAAGAAAGCAAAGTTCTCTTGGTGGGCTCTGTACTAAGGCTGTTGATTTTAGAGAAATAATTGCATGTTCCTGCAGGATACTGACCTGCAAGAACTTGAAAGCATGTATTTATGTGTGTGTGTGCTAAAAATAGTCAAGTTAATAGATAAATATTTCTTTTTTCCTTTAAAGAAAAACTATGGCATCACATGCTTGATGTCAAGTCAGGTTGGGATGCCAAAATATGCTTTTAGTCTGTGAAAATCATTGCCTTGGTGATTATTTGGGCTGTTTTGAATTGCTTGTGGTGGGATCTGACTTGATTAATCTAAACTGTGAAAGGATCTGTTCCTGTTTTCCTTCCTCCTCGCTGTACCTGGCTTTTGCAGCGCTGCCCTAAATGTTCCCCCATGACACTGTTCACATACCCAGTGCTTTGTGCCACCTGTCGAGCTGGGCATTGCCTTGGCTGTATGGGAGCACAGATTTGGGGCCAAAAAGGGTAAACTCAGCAGTACTGCCAGAACTTCCTGTGAATGAGCTTTTAATTCTGGGGATGAAAGAAGAGATCCTGTGGGTTTTCTCTAGTTGTAGGCACAAGTGCTGCCTCGTTTTAAATGCAGAACTTGTAATACTCTATGCAGAATGAACATATTAAAAAGTGGGTATTGTTATTTGTCTAGTGTACAGACTGAAGCTGTGATTTAGGTTTCCTGACGTGAGTTCAGATGATGCATGTTTTTGAGTAAATACAATGGAAAATGGATAGTTGAGACTTCTTACTCCTTTTTTCCTCTCCCCCCCCTCTCTTTCCCAGTTCTACTCGGTGAACGTTGACTACAGCAGGCTGAAAAAGGACCGTCCTGACTTCTGAACAACACCTTCATCTCTGTAAGCTGCACAGAAAGGTCTTCCAGAAGCCGTCCGCACAATTGTCATGCTTAAATCATCCAGGAAAATCATCAAACTCGCCTCACGCTGCACTTGGTCATGTGTTTGAAAGTTTTGGGATGAGGCTTAATAAACGTCTGAAACTTGAAGTGTCTACTCTTGACTCTGATTTTATAAAATGAGAATATTCTCCTGTTAATGGTTTGCTGTACAATCGGTCAAATAGTAAGCAAAAGGCGGTTCACATTTCCTGAACAGGGAAGCAAAGTTCTCTTGGTGGGCTCTGTACTAAGGCTGTTGATTTTAGAGAAATAATTGCATGTTCCTGCAGGATACTGACCTGCAAGAACTTGAAAGCATGTATTTATATGTGTGTGTGTGTATATATATATATATTATTTTTTTTAATTGCACATGAATTTTTCTACTTGCCACTTGAAGGAGTTTGGGTAGCAGATAAGTCAATGCCGACAAATCATTGGCCAGCAGGGAGGCAACAGCTGTTGCCAGATGTTGCTGGAGGGAAGGAAGAAATCAAAAGCCCAAGCTCTCTGCAAAAGGTTTCATTTCTTTTTTTTTTTTTAAAGTCCTAAGTAGTTTGTTAATAAATAAGAGGGCAATCGTAAATATTTAAAATTCTAGGAATGCATTTGAGATTTCCCATGGATCATGGTTTTAAGGAAGGAAAGCACACAGCAGGCTGGGGGAGAGGATTTGAGGAATAATTAGATTTTCACTTAAGAACAAGACTATTTTTAAGCAAGGGCAAATTCTCAGACGTTGGTCCTTGCTCCAGCCTTGCTGTGGGGAGACAAAAATATCCTGGCAAGTCCGTAACTTACGGCAGATTCTTCTTCGTGTGTCTCTGTGAACATCTGGTGTTTCCTTGGGTGAGGGATATACTTCTGGACCATCTGACAGAGTCCAGCTGTTCCTATCGTGATACATTTCAGTCCACTTAAAGCAGCCTCTCAGGATGCAGATATAAATAATTAGGAGAGATTCAAAGAAATTGAGCAGCAAGAATGTTGAAGATGGAAGAAAGCTGCGTATTTTGTGTGATTTAGCAGCAGAACCGGTAACGTGTTACTTTCAGACAAACATATCATGCTGTTTATTTGGTTCCATGGGACTAATTCCTCACTGCAGGTGTTTTTCTTATTGTTGAAACCTCATATTTATGGAGACTTTGGGCCACACTTACTTTAAGTCGGTCTGAAATTATTCTGTGGGCAGAAATCAAGCACACAGAATTGCTTAAATCTTCAGCCTTGAGACATAGAAGCATTGAAACTCGCCACTTTTATTGGTAATGTGACAGTGTGTGTTCTCCAAATCCTTAAAAGAAAAGTTCCTCATTTTTTTTGGTATTTATAATTAACTTACAGATTGATAGATCTATCCTCGTAATTCAGTTCTGTGACACGTTGCCATTTCTTCAGTACTCTGGGGTTTTTTTTAAATGTATAAATGCACTTTCTTTAGTCCCTGGTTTCTTTTTTGGTATTTCATTTGTTGTTTCTACTCTTAAAATTCTGTCTCTGTAAGGCCCTAAATTCCTGCTTACCTTTTTCCACCGTGAGTTTTCCTTGGGGACTGAGGAATTCTTTATTCCATGTAAAACCAAAGCAAGTGCTTGGCCCCGAGTGTCTTGTTAATGAGCCACGGACAGAAGATTTCTCTGTTATTTTTACGATACAGAGCTCAGATTCCCGTTTAATGCAGTTATTCTGCACCCCCCTATCCATAATCCTGATGTGCAGCGGGATGATCAAATCTGAAATTAATTCTGCCCACCCAAGACAGGAAGAACTACAATTTCTGTAGTTTTGGTACATGAATACATACTCTGTGCAACACGTTGCAGTGTATCTCATCTGGCTGTATTTTTAGTGTAGCCACTAAGTAGGATTTGTGTTACTTGCCTGCAGTGAGGAACATTCCTTATGAGTATAAAACATCTAACTGCCCCTAAGCAATTAGAAGGGTGTGCCTGGTATCCAAAGAATAATTTAAATTTTGCATAGGATTTCCAGCCAAATGTCATGGGTGGAAATGCAATTCAGATCTGCTTTTCAAGCTCTGCTTTACCTTTAAAGATAGTTTGCTGTGGGACTGTTGAATGACCTTTGAAACTGAGCAAAATGCATGTTTGATGCTGATTGGACCATAAGACTTTGTCAGAAAGAAAGGTTAAAAAGTTATTATGGAATTTTAAAAAGGCATTTAAAACAGAAAATGAGTTATTGAGAAAAAATGAGATACGATCCAGTGCCCACAAAGTTATTGTTTCTACACATGGGCCGGCCTCGGTGTGAGAGCAACCTTATGAGCTGGAAAACCCTGTCTCTGGGACAAAGTGAAGCTCAGCAGGTCTATGAGAACTCCAAAAAAACCCAAAAAATAGGTCTTCAGGTGCATCATTGCCACAGTAGGTTTTTTTTTATATTACTTCACAGAAAAATCTTACTCTTCAGTCTTCTTTTTGAAATCCAGAAGTTGGTTGACTTCATGCTTTCGTGATTCATCTGCTTTTCCTTAGAAGTGGTCTTGGCATCAGTATTTAGTCATGAGAAGTTCCTGTGAAGCTCAAATCGTTTCATCTCCTCCTCTGATCTCTAAGCTTCTTAGGAGTGTCTCTGGGTACCGCTATGATGGCACATTTCCCAAATGTGGGTTAATTCTTGTGCCATCCGGCTTGGACGAACTTTGGGGTTTTTCTAATCATTTCAAAATGTTATTTTCTAGGGTTGGTGAGGCTTAGAACTTTCTTAGTGGGAAGGACATGTGCCAGCGCAATGCAGGAAAACACATCCCCCTTCCATTCTTGAGAAGCAAATGTGGTTTTTAGCGTCCAGATCAACATTTATCTGAGCCAGAAAAGTACTCTGCTTTTTTTTTTTCTTCTCCTTTTTTAAAGTTTCATCTCAATGAAACTAAAAAGTAATTTTTAGACTTTCCAAGCGAATGTTATTCTTACAGTTACCAGCCAAGAGGCCTGTGAGATCACCACATTTGGACTTGCTCAACTCTTTTTCTTCTCTTTTCAGTCAAAATCAGTATTGATTTAGGTAATGTGAAATGAGAACTTAAGTATGCAAGTCAAGGCAAGAGCAATGCATTCAAACTTTGGATAGTTTGCTGATGTTCATTTGCGAGTGGAACAGCTACAAGACTGGCACGTGGAGCTCCTGCAAGAGACAGCACGTTCTGAAGATGATCAGGAAATAGTTCGTTAACACGTGGCAGCGCATACATTACGAAGGAGCATAGAAATTCTGCGGGTAATATTCATGACGCTTGGCAATGCTTTGTAACACAGACACCTCAAATAATATTTCTAGGGTCATTAATTTGAATTACTTTGGACAAAATAATGCACTATGCCATTTACAGTTCATCACTGTAATGTAAAGACAACTTTTTTAGTAGAATTGCACAAGGCATAACCCAATAGACGAATTTATAGACTTGGTTTTTTTCACATTGGAAGCGAACTAACTTATGAACATGAAATGTTTTCTAATTTTAGTTTCCCTACTGCAGGCAAATGAAACAAACTGCAGAGAAGGTAATGAAAACAGATTACTTAATGGTGAGAAATCGGAGTGCCATTCTTCCTCTACCAGTGGTGCCACTGCTGGAATTTAATGGGGTGGCACCAGTGTGTCACCGAATTAAGATCTTGGTCCTAACTGTTTAAAAATAGGGTTGAATCTAATAAGATTTCCTCAGTATTCATAATGTTTTTTCTTTTTACTTGCTAGACCAAGAGCAGGAAAATAGCAAGACTTGTTATCAACAGGAAGAAAACGGAATTGCCTCCCAATTTCAAACTTCCTACTCTAGTACCACTTACATCTCCTGACAGTCTGTGGGATTTTGATAGAGCGTTAAGGGGATAATTTTCTTCAGATGTTGTTTTCATCTTCCTGATGTGTCAAACAGATTTAACTTCCTAGCATTTTGGAAGCTTAGGGGAGGAAAATTCAGAGAATCACAGAATGATATGGGGTTGGAAG